TCGCCATTCTACATCCGCTTGTTGTTGGTCAACATTATTACATAAAATCGGAAATCGAACAAAAACATCATTTAATGATTTTACTTCAAATTTTTGAGCCACTTTTGGATTAACTATCTTTATTATATCAAATATAGGATCGCTAAAATCAAATCTAACTACAATATCCGTAACAAGTTCTATATAAAATGCGCGGCAAGTTCTCAAAAAATCTACGATAGATGAATCAGGTATATTTGAATTTTCTTTAATCTCTTTCAAACTTTTATCAGCCTGTATTCCTAAATATATATTCTTGATATCGATAAAATTATCTAAATTTGTAAAATCAGCTTTTAGAATTTCTTTACAAGATCGGATATAATCAATTTTCATATAATTAGCACTGATTTGTTTCACCAATTTTTCGACTTCCGGCTTTAAAATGTGCAAAAGAGGCTTTTCTGACTGAAATAAGACATTAAAATCAGTTGTTAGTCCAAGAACATAAGACATAAATTCTAGATATATTATTGTAAATTTATTCTCCATGGTAGACAACATATCTTCCGTTGTTTTTGATGGATCATCAAAAACAGTTTGTCTTAGATAATGATTTAATGGAACGTATTGTTCCAAGAGACGATCAACACAGCCTTCAACCGATAGCCAGCGAGTTTGTGCTAATGTCAGGATTTTGTGAATTTTTACTCCAAAAAATTCTTGGAATTCTTTAAACGCATCAATCCGTTTTGCACTTCTATTAAAGTGAGATCCAAGATTCCGAATAAGATCTTCAACAGAACGTGGGAGCTTTAAACATGCTTTATTTGCAGATAGATTGATCATATGACAGGAACACTTAATGCATGCTATATGAAGTATATCCTTTTTTAGTAGAGAAAATACAGAATGATTTACTCCTGTCATTGTATTACATGTATCAGAAGAGAAGCCTATTATGTTAGTTAATGGTATTTTCCAAATCGACAACATTTTTTTCAGCGCTTCATAAAGTTCATTAGCAGTACCACCTGGTAATTCAATCATATCTAAAAAATGAGTTTGAACTTCCATTTTTTTTTGATTGAAAAAGATTATTGTAAAAGCGTACTGCTTTTTTACACTTTTATTGGTAGTTTCATCCATAATTATTGAATAATAAAGTCCTTGGGCACACAGTAAATTTACAATTTCATCTGAAAATGCTTCACTTAAAATATTTTTTACAATTGACATAGCTTTAGTTCGTCCCAAGGTCATTTTCTGAGCGATTTTGGAGTCTGTGAATACATTGGCACACAGTGGAATCAATGTATCGACTAGAAGAAATGGTAAGTCGTTCGAAGCCAACATTGCTGCAATTTTGATTTCTGCCCGACGTGTTTAAGTTTCTAAATCAGACATTTCCGAGATTGATGTTAATTTGCTTGACGAACTGACGTCTTTCCAACATTTTTTATGCTGATCAGACTCTAGATGACGAATTAAGTCGCTTTTGTGGGCTGATAGTGTTTTTACACAAACAGTACATTCAGCTAGATC